ACCCACCGCCCGCCCCCGGCTGGCCTGTAACCTGGGCGGCCTGAGGCACTGGGCGTTAGCCTCAGAAACCAGCCGTCTTTAAAAAGCAAACCCTTCTTAAGTCCCAGAAAGTGGCTAATTATTCAAGGGGAACCGCGCATGGGGGAGGAGCGGCAATGGTTCGAGGGGTGGGAAGGAAACACCGGGAAGGAGATTTACTCCCTACGCCTACCTGACTCTGAGGGTCACCGGTTGAGCTCCCCTCCTGGCACAAATTTGCCCCTACAGCACCCTCTGGTGGACGTGCTGTCCATTCTTTAGGGGGTTCCCTATCCAAGCACCCCTCTCGTCCGGAATCTCAACATTTGGCGGGGTTTAGCTGTTTGGGGGTAAACAGCGCCATGGGGACACTTGTGAATCCGGGGTTTTGCTGACACGAGGTCAGAACTTCCTATTTGGGGCTTAAGCAAATGAGTAGATTCCTTAACTAAAATGTAATTTTCAAAATCAATAGGTGTACCATAAAAAGTGAATAGATATGGACATGGAAATACAACAATGCAGCTAAAAGTGATTATAGAAACCTTCGGTCCAAGGCTGGAGCCCTGTGTTTGTTTACCATGGGCAGTGTTTTGGCCCACACCACAGGCCAAGGACACGTTGACCAAGGCTGCATCATTTTGCAAGGGAGTATTCCTTTGCTACCTCAGTCCCTGTCTTTCTCCTACATCCACATTCATTCATTTAAGAATTGTTTTTCTTTTTCTTTTTTTTTTTTTTTTGAGACGGAGCCTTGCTCTGCCGCCCACGCTGGACAACCTCTGCCTTCCAGGTTCAAGCGATTATCCTGCCTCACCCTCCCGAGTAAAAAAAAGTCTTGTTAGAAATTTGAAAATCAGGCCAGGTACAGTGGCTCAGGCTTGTAATCCCAGTACTCTGGGAGGCCAAGGCGCGGGAGCGGGGGGAAATCACCGGAGACCAGCCTTGTAAACATGGTGAAACCCCATCTCTACTAAAAAGAAAAGAAAAAAAGCCAGGCATGGTAGCTCACACCTGTAATCTTACCTACTCGGGTAGCTGAGGCAGGAGAATGGCTTGAACCCAGGAGGCAGAGGTTGCAATGAACCAAGATCACATCACTGCACTCCAGACTGGGCAACAGAGTGAGACTCCATCTCAAAATATACACAATATATATGTATATACTAGTATATTGTGTGTATATGTGTGTATACACACAATAGTATATATATGTGTGTGTGTGTGTATATATATATATAAAATAAAGATGGGAGTTTATATAAAATAGGGAAACTCCCATCTTTACTATGTATATACACACACATATATAGCAAAGATGGGAGTTTCCCTATTTTGCCCAGGCAGGAACTCCTGGCCTTAAGCGGTCCTTCCACTTTGGCCTCCCAAGTGCTGGGATTACATCGTGAGTAACTGTGACTGCTGAACAACTATTTGTCAAGTGCTAGGTGCTGGCCGTATCATGAAGTCCCTGGCTTAACTGACTTCCACCTATTAAATGACCCCAGATACTTCTAAAGCAGGGGTAAAACAAAGTGTAGAGAAATATTAAAAGAAAACCAAAAAGAGCAAGGCTAGCCTATCACAGATATTGATTGTTCCAGTGGGGCCAGCCTGTAAACAGAAGGAAAGCTATTGCAAGCATGAAATGCCTGGAGGTGAACAAACAGCCCTGTAGAAGTAAGAGGTTTTTGCTAGAGAAATAAAAATAGGAAGAAACAAAATGTGCCAACATTGAATAAATTACTGTAGGTGCCTATATGACTATGTGTATACCTGAAGAGAAAAAACAAGAAAGCTTAAATTTAGTCCAATTTCCTCCTAGAAGAAAGACTATGGTATCAGAAGAGGAGGTAGTTCAGTACTATTAAGAGAAAAGGTAGGAGACCCCTTAGAAGATCCCTATTTATTAGATAAATACAAGATACCCGTCGTAACTATCCAAATAGCTTTGATTTATCCATTCACTCAACGGTTTTTTTAGTGCACTTAACAAAATATTTAGTATGTAATAAATTCCAGGCACTGTAGTAGGTTCTGATATACAGTGCTGAACCAGACAGATGAAGTCCATGTTCTCACAGAACTTCGTAAGAAACACTTCACACCCACTTGAATGGCTATAATCAAAGAGAAGAAGGGCAAAAGTAAGTATGGATGAGAGGTGGAGAACTGCAACCCTTGTACCTCGCTGGTGGAAATGTAACATGGTGCAGTTGCTTTGGAAAACAGCCCGACAGTTCCTCAAAAAGATTAAATGTGTAACTCGATCAAGACAATTGCAAGTGGGAAAAAAAAAAAAAGATTAAGTGTGGAGTTACAATATGACCCAGCAATTCCACTCCTACCTAGGTATAGTTCCAAGAGAAAGCAAAACATGGTCAGGCACGGTGGCTCATGCCTGCAATCTCAGCACTTTAGGAGGCCAAGGTGGGTGGATTGCCTGAGGTCAGGAGTTCAAGATCAGCTTGACCAACATGGTGAAACCCCGTCTCTGCTAAAAATACAAAAATTAGCAGGGCGTGGTGGCAGGTGCCTGTAATCTCAGGTACTCAGGAGGCTGGAGAATTGCTTGAATCTGTGAGGTGGAGGTTGCTTTGAGTCGAGACTGGGCCATTGCATTCCAGCCTGGGCAACAAGAACGAACCTCCATCTCAAAAAAAAAAAAAAAAAACCACACACACACAAACACACACAGAGAAAGAAATGTAGGTAAATGTTCAAAACAGCATTATTCAAAAGGGCCAAAAAGGCCAGACGCAGTGGCTCACGCCTGTAATCCCAGCACTTTGGGAGGCTGAGGCACAGGGATCAGGAGATCAAGAGATCGAGACCATCCTGGCCAACATGGTGAAACCCTGTCTCCACTAAAATACAAAAAATTAGCTGGTCATGGTGGCACATGCCTGTAATCCCAGCTACTTGGGAGGCTGAGAAAGGAGAATCGCTTGAACCCAGGAGGAGGAGGTTTCGGTGAGCCAAGAATGCGCCATTGCACTCCAGCTGGGGCAACAAGAGTGAAACTCGAACTCAAAAAAAAAACAAAGGGGGGGTCCAAAAAGTGGAAACAACCCAAATGCCTGTCAATTAATGAAGAGGTAAACCAAATGTGGCATATCTATACAATGAAATATTATTCAGCTATAAAAAGGAGTAAAGAAAGGACTGATTCAAACATGGAAGAATCTTGTAAAATCATATAAAATAAAAGAAGCCAGCCATAAAAGACCATATATTGTATGATTTCACTTATGTTAAATGTCCAGAGTAGGCAAATCTATAGAGACACAAAGATCAGTGGTTGCCATGGCCTGAGGGGAGGGGAGAATGGAAATGACTACTAACTGGTTTCTGTTTGTATGTATGTATATATGTATTTATTTATTTATTTTGAGACAGAGTCTTGCTCTGTCACCCAAGCTGGGGTGCAGTAGCACAATCTCGGCTCACTGAAAACTCTGCCTCCTAGGTTCAAACAATTCTCATGCCTCAGCCTCCTGAATAGCGGGGCTTTTTTTTTTTTTTTTTTTGGAGACCAGTTTTCACCATGTTGGCCAGGCTAGTCTTGAACTCCTGGCCTCAAGTGATCCATCCGCCTCAGCCTCCCAAAATGCTGGGATTACAAGCACACCTGGCCTTGTTTTTTGAAATCACATTTTTTTTGTAATTATATGGATTTCTTTTTGAAAATGTTTGGGAATTGGGTAATGGTGATGCTTGCACAAACCTGTGAATATACTAAGAACCGTTGAATTACACACTTAAAAGGGTGAATTTTATGGCATCTAAGTTATACTACAATACCATATATCTCAAGAACTATTGGTGGGGCTTGGTGGCTCACGCCTGTAATCACAGCACTTTGGGAGGCTGAGACGGATGGATCACTTGAAGTCAGGAGTTTGAGACCAGCCAGACCAACATGGTGAAAACCCGTATCTACTAAAAATATAAAAATTAGCCAGGCATGGTGGTGCAAGCATGTAATCTCAGCTACTGGGGAAGCAAGGCAGGAGAATCGCTAGAACCTGAGAGGCAGAGGTTGCAATGAGCCAAGATCACACAACTGCACTCCAGCCTGGGTGACAGAGTGAAACTCCATCTTAAAAAAAAAAAGAACTGGCCGGGCACGGTGGCTCAGGCCTGTAATCCCATCACTTTGGGAGGCCGAGGTGGGCGGATCACGAGGTCTGCCCAGGATGGAGACCATCCTGGCCAACATGGTGAAACCCCATCTCTACTAAAAATACAAAAATTAGCCGGGTGTGGTGGCGCGCGCCTGTGGTCCCAGTTACTCGGGAGGCTGAGGCGGAACCCAGGAGGTGGAGGTTGCAGTGAACCGAGATTGCACCACAGCACTCCAGCCTGGCGACAGAGCAAGACTCCATCTCAAAAAAAAAACAAAAAACAAACAAAAAAAAGTACTGAAGCAGACAATGACTATACACTATGATAAGTAAGCCTAGAATGGTGGCTAACATGTAGTAGGCACTCAATAAATATTGTTGAATGAATGAATAAATGAATGAATGAAAAACTAAGTGGTATGAGAGAGAAAGAGCACAGTGCTGAACAAAAGGCAAGAGGCAGGCACAGACCATTCCAAACTGATGCCTGATAAGTGAGTTGGAGATTGGCCAGGCAAGGAGGCAGGGCAGGGAAAGACATCTGTGTTTCAGGCAAAGGGAACTGCCCGGATGTGAGAGAGCATGGCATATTCAAGGAACTGAAAGAGGATATATTGCTGCAGTGCAAGTGGGTGGCAGCCAAAGATGAATCTGGTCCTCAGGGCCAGGCAAGCAGTTCCTGCGAGCCATGGCAAGGAGTGTGGACCACATCCCAAGGGCATGGGGAGCTGGAAAGCCTTTTTTTTTTTTTTTTTTTTTTTTTTTTTTGAGACGGAGTTTCGCTCTTGTTACCCAGTCTGGAGTGCAATGGCACCATCTCTGCTCACCGCAGTCTCCGCCTCCTGGGTTCAGGCAATTCTCCTGCCTCAGCCTCCTGAGCAGCTGGGATTACAGGCACGTGCCACCGTGCCCAGCTAATTTTTTTGTAATTTTAGTAGAGACGGGGTTTCACCATGTTGACCAAGATGGTCTCGATCTGTTGACCTCGTGATCCACCCGCCTCCGCCTCCCAAAGTGCTGGGATTACAGGCTTGAGCCACCGCGCCCGGCCTGGAAAGCCTTTATCATCATTAGATGCTGTCTATCTAGCACCACCATCACTGGTGCTATCATTAGCACCAATAAGAATGTCCTCCCAGGGTTCTGAAGCCCGCAGTCACCTACCTGGACTGAGATTCTCCCCAGGCGCTGAGGATGGGGCCATGGCGCCCCGAACCCTCCTTCTGCTGCTCTTGGGGGCCCTGGCCCTGACTGAGACCTGGGCGGGCTCCCACCCCATGAGGTATTTCTACACTGCCGTGTCCCGGCCCGGCCGCGGGGAGCCCTGCTTCATCTCGGTGGGCTACGTGGACTACAAGCAATTCGTGCGCTTCGACAGCGACGCCGCTAGTGGGAGAGGGGAGCCGCGGGCGCGGTGGATGGAGCACGAGGGGCCGGAGTATTGGGACCGGGACACACTGACCCTCAAGGCCAGCGCACAGACTTACCTAGGGAACCTGCGGACCCTGCGCGGCTACTACAACCAGAGTGAGGCCGACCCCCCCAAAGACGCATATGACCCATCACCCCGTCTCTGACCATGAGGCCACCCTGAGGTGCCGGGCCCTGGGCTTCTACCCTGCGGAGATCACACTGACCTGGCAGCAGGATGGGGAGGACCAAACTCAGGACGCTGAGCTTGTGGAGACCAGGCCCGCAGGGGATGGAACTTTCCAGAAGTGGGCGGCTGTGGTGGTGCCTTCTGGAGAAGAGCAGAGATACGCGTGCCATGTGCAGCACAAGGGGCTGCCCGAACCCCTTACCCTGAGATGGGAGCCATCTTCCCAGCTCACCATCCTCATTGTGGGCATCGCTGCTGACCTGGTTGTCTTTGGAGCTGTGGTCGTCGGAGCTGTGATCACTGCTGTGATGTGGAGCAGGAAGAGCTCAGGACATTTTCTTCCCACAGCTGGAAAAAGAGGGAGCTACTCTCAGGCTGCATGCAGCGACAGTGCCCAGGGCTCTGATGTGTCTCTCGCAGCTTGTAAAGCCTGAGACAGCTGCCTTGTTTGTGTGTGATTGAGATGCGGGATTTCTTCACGCCTACCCTTTGTGACTTCAGCTTCTGGCATCTCTTTCTGCAAAGCCATCTGAATGTGTCTGTGTCCCTGTTAGCATAATGTGAGGAGGTGAAGAGACAGCCCAGCCCGTGTCCACCATGACCTCTGTCCCCATGCTGACCTGTGTTCCCTCCCCAGTCATCTTTCCAGAGAGGTGGGGCTGAGCATCTCCATCTCTGTCTCAACTTCATGGTGCACTGAGCTACAACCTCTTACTTTCCTACTGAAAATGAGAATCTGAATATAAATTTCTTTTCTTAAATATTTGCCATGAGAGGTTGATGGGTTAATTAAATAAGTCAGTTCCTAAAATTTGAGAGAGAAAATAAAGACCTGAGAAACTTCCAGAAAAAAAAAAAGAGAATGTCCTCCAGTACTTTGGGAGGTTGAGACAGGCAGATTGCTTGAGCCTGGGTTCAAGATCAGCCTGGGCAACAGCAAGACCCTGTTTGATAAACAATACAAAAATTAGCCAACTGTCTTGGCATGTGCCTGTGGTCCCAGCTACTTGGGAGGCTGAGGTAGAGGTAGGAGGATCTCCGGAGCCCAGAGAGATTGAGGTTGCAGTAACTCATGATCATGCCACTGTACTCCAGCCTGGGTGTCAGAAGGAGACCCTGTCTCAATAATAAAATAAAATAAATAAAAGGAAAAAATAAATTTTGATAGGTGATAGATAAAACATACTACACGCACATTAATGGTCACACAGTCAGTAAGAGCAGAGCTGGGCTCTTAAGTTTTACGGAGAATATGCTCATCAAGGAATTTTTTTTTCTTAAGACAGGATCTCAGTCTGTCAGCCAGGTTGGAGTGCAGTGGTACAATCTGGGCTCACTGCAACCTCTGCCTGCCAGGCTTAAGGGATCCTCCCACCTCACCGTCCTGAGTAGCTGGGATCACAGGCATATGCCTACCTTACATGGCTAAGTTTTGTATTTTTTTGAGACAGTATTTTGCCATGTTGCCCAGACTAGTCTTGAACTCCTGCGCTCAAGCAACCCTGTCTCGGCCTCTGCAAGTGTTGGGATTACAGGTGCGAGCCACCACATCCAGTCAAGGAATTCTTCAGATGACAATTTTGTTTTCTCTGTATGCTTCCCAAAGGGGTGAAAAAGACTAAATCTGCTTAACACTGTATTTCTTTTTGTGAATTAATTATTTGGCCTTAAGTTTTATATTCCAGTGTGCTTATTATTTTAAGCTCACCTTTCCCATAGCTGGCACCACTGAACAGCTGAGATCTTGCACTGCAAAGGTGAAGCCCCTGCTTTCTGGAATATGATTACCCTAAGTTTAGGTGCCCTGTGGGACCTGAATGGTAACAGCATTTCATGCCTGTAATCCCAGCACTTTGGAAGGCAAAGGCGGGTGGATTGCTTGAGGACAGGAGTTCAAGACTAGCCTGACCAACATGGTGAAACCCTGTCTCTAGTAAAAATACAAAAATTAGCTGGGCATGGTGTCAGGCGCTGTAATCCCAGCTACTCGAGAGGCTGAGGCACGAGAATTCCTTGAACCCAGGAGGCAGAGTTTGCAATGACCTGAAATCGCGCCACTGCTCTCCAGCCTGGGCAACAAAGCGAGACTGTCTCAAAAAAAAAAGAGCCGGGTGTGGTGGCTCAAGCCTGTAATCCCAGCACTTTGGGAGGCCGAGGTGGGTGGATCACGAGGTCAAAAGAGCGAGACCATCCTGGTCAACATGGTGAAACCCCGTCTCTACTAAAGACAAAAAAATGAGCTGGGCATGGTGGCGCATGCCTGTAATCCCAGCTACTCGGGAGGCTGAGGCAGGAGAATTGCCTGAACCCAGGAGGCGGAGGTTGCGGTGAGCCAAGATCGCGCCATTGCACTCCGGCCTGGGTAACAAGAGCGAAACTCCGTCTCAAAAAAAAAAAAAGAAACAAAGAAAGAATAAAGAGAAGAAAAGAAAATGAAAATGTCCTGTTATTTCCTTTTGTACTTACATAAACTACTGACCCACCTACCACAACAGTCAGGAGGAGAAAGAGCAAGGCCCTTTGCAAATGCGGTGCTTATCTATTCTGTTATACAAAACCTGGGACTGTTCAGAAAATAGAGGACATGGCCTGTTAGGGCTACTCCTGAGAAGTAGTGGGAAGTTCCTGTCCACCTCCCTGTCTCTGTGAGCCAGAGGAAGGCAAGGGTTTCCCATGGCTTTGGAGGGCATCCCCAGCACTCCCATCACCCTCATTGGGGGTGGACAAATGTCTTTTTTTTTTTTTTGAGCCCATTGCCCAGGCTGTAGTGCAGTGGTGCGGTCTCGGCTCACTGCAACCTCCGCCTCCCAGGTTCAAGTGATTCTTCTGCCTCAGCCTCTCAAGTAGCTGGGATTACAGGTGCGCACCACCACCCTCAGCAAATTTTTTTGTGTTTTTAGTAGAGTCGGGGCTTCACCACGTTGGCCAGGCTGCTCTTGAACTCCTGACTCCGTGATCTGCCTGCCTTGGCCTCCCAAAGTGCTGGGATTACAGGCGTGATCCACCGCGCCCGGCCGACAAATGTCTTTTAGGGAGAAACTTCCTTCCAGGACCTGTCAGAGCTCTTTAATTTTATTGTTTTGCTTGAAAAGAGACAGCTTAGAGAAATCAAGATAATGAGTAACCAAAACACATAGCCAGGAGGTTGAGGACTGGAGCATGTTCATTAATATTTGTTGATTTATGAAGGGAGGGAAATTATTACGGGGGCTCACGGCAGGGGTCCAAGGTTCCCAGATGTAAACAAACTGAGTAGTCAGCCAGCTCCAAATTCTGCAGACGGGCAAACAGAGGACCGGAAAGATATAAAGGATCATGTTCAAATTACATGGCTAGTTGCTGATAAGAGCCAGCCAGGGCCCTGAATTTCTGGGTTTGCTCTGTACCCTGCTTTCCTGCAGCTTGGCTAGCAAGTGTCCTTCTGAAAAAACACGGTTTCATGATAAAGCCCCTGTGGCCTGTTCAGCAAGCTGGGATCTATTTGACAAAGGACCCTCAGTGGTCCCCAGCCTCTGATTCAGATGCAAAATCCTAAGTCCCCCAACTGATGGAGCAGACCCCCCTCGGGCCAAGGGGCCCCCAGAGAAACCTGAAAAACTGAATTTCTGGCCATCACGGGAAAGAAGGTCATCGTACCCCCTCCCTTTTGGAGTTTAGGCACAACTGAGCAGCATCAAGGTTAAAACAGAGACCATAAGACTGACAGAACAGATGCTTTGTGGCAATAAGATATCAAATTCCAGCCTGACTTTGGTATAGCATCATAGGACAGATAGCAGACCCTGAAGGAAATAAAAATATTTTACCCCAAAATAAATTTCTTTGACATATTTTGAAATGGCCCTTCAAAGCATTCTGTTGTGGGGAAAATTTTGCATCTTTAGAGAATGCAGCTGGGACTTTCCTGGATTTAAGAGGCTAAGTGGCCGAGAGTGGTGGCTCACACCTGCAATCCCAGCACTTGGGGAGGCCATGGGGGTGGCAGGATCACTTGAGCCCAAGAGTTAGAGACCAGCCTGGGCAACACAGTGAAACTCCATCTTAATTTTTTTTTCTTGAGACAGGGTGTCGCTGTCTTGCCCAGATTGCAGTGCAGCGGCACCATCTCAGCTCACTGCAACCTCTGCCTCCCAGGTTCAGGTGATTCTCCTGCCTCAGCCTCTGGAGTAGCTGGGACTATAGAAATGTGCCACCACACCCAGCTAACTTTTTTTTTTTTTTTTTTTACTGAGATGGGGTTTCACCATGTTGGCCAGGTTGGTCTTGAACTCCTGACTTCAAATGATACACCTGCCTTGACCACCCAGTGTTTGGATTACAGGTGTGAGCCACTGCTCCTGGCCTTTTTTTTTTTTTTAATGACATGGAGTCTCACTCTGTCACCCAGGCTTGAGTGCAGTGGTGAGATCTCGGCTCACTGCAACCTCTGCCTCCCGGGTTCAAGCGATTCTCCTGCCTCAGCCTCCCAAGTAGCTGGGATTACAGGTGTGTCCCACCACACCCAGCTAATTTTTTTATTTTTAGTAGCGATCCGGTTTTAGCATGTTGGTCAGGCTGGACTCGAACTCCTGACCTTGTGATCTACCTGCCTTGGCCTCCCAATTTGCTGGGATTACAGGTGTAAGCCACCACTACTGGCCAATTTTTTTTTTTAAGAGAGAGATAAACTGAGTCTGACACCTTTGAAGGCCCTGAGAAATTTACTGCCTATTCTCTCTGAAGGCTGGTGCCTATGAGCCTTCCTCTTCTTAACAAGAGCCTTGATCTCTATGGCTTCCCTCATCTTAAACATTTCTTTCTACTAACTTCAGGTTTTTGGACACAGTTGAACTCTTTTAACCAATTGCCAATCAGAAAGTCTTCGAATCCACCTATGACCTATAACTCTGCTCCCTCCAAGACATCTCGCCTCTTTAGGCTGAACCAATGTATACCTTCCACCAATGTCTTGGGTACACTTTCTCAGGACCTCCTGAGACTGTTCCCCAGGCCACGGTCACTCATATGGCACTCATGTGGTCTCAGAATAAACCTCTTTAAGTATGATACAGAGCAGCAGTTTGGGAGGTCAAGGTGAGTGGATCACTTGAGCTCAGGAGATTGAGACCAGCTCGGGCAACATGGCCAAACTCCATCTCTACAAAAAAATGCAAAAACTTGCCATATGTGGTCATGTGTGCCTGTGGTCCCAGCTCCTCAAGAGGCTGAGGTGGGAGGATCGCTTAAACCTGGGAAGTTGAGGTTGCAGTGAGCTGAGATGGAACCACTGCCACTGCACTCCAACCTGAGATCTGGTCTCCAAAATATAAACAAAAAGTTTGGCTTTGATTTTGTTTAATTTTTTTTTATCAACATGGAAAAAAACATTTACATGTGGATCTCAGGCTCGAATAGCAATGAAGAAGCAGCCAGAGAGCGCTGGATGTTGCTCCAGAGTCCCCACTCTTTCTTTTTCTTTCCTTTTCTTTCTTTCTTTCTTTTTTTTTTTTGAGACAGAGTCTCACTCTGTTGTCCAGGCTGGAGGGCAGTTGCGTGATCTCAGCTCACTGCAACCTCCCCCTCCAGGGTTCAAGCGATTCTCCTGCCTCAGCCTCCAGAGTAGTTAGGATTACAGGGCACCCACCACCACACCGGCTAGTTTTTGTATTTTTAGTAGAGATGGGGTTACTCCATGTTGGCCAGCTTGGTCTCAGCCTCAAGTGGAGACTCGTGATCTCAGGAGAGCCACCTGCCTTGGCCTTCTGAAGTGCTGGAATTACAGGTGTGAGCCACTGCGCCCGGCTGAGTCCCTACTATTTCATGACAGTGTCATGACATATGGGTGGGAGACTCCAAAGAAGGACTTGAGGAGGTAATTGGAAAGGTGCTTCTGCTCTTTCCCCAAAATTCTGCTGGACCTTTTTTCCACTGGGAGAACAGAGTGCACCAAGGACTCGAAAGTCAAAGTGCTATCTTTGCCTATGAACCGTGACAGGCAGATTTTGAGAACTAGATAAATATGAACTAAAGAGATGGGAGTGGGGGAGGGTTGCAGAAACGCTCAGGCATGATGATCTTAGAGCCCACTCATTTTGGTGGGAAGCAAATTACCAAGCTATGTATACATAGACAGACAGCTTTAAGAGCTGTATCTCTATCTGTAACTTTGTCCAAAAGGCAGGGCTCTTTTTTTTTTTTTTTTGAGACAGAGTTTTGTTCTCTGTCGCCCAGGCTAGAGTGCAGTGACCAGATCTCTGCTCACTGCAAACTCTACCTTTCAGGTTCAAGCCATTCTCCTCCCTCAGCCTCCTGAGTAGCTGGGATTACAGGCGTCTGCCACCACACCCAGCTAATTTTTGTATTTTTAGTAGAGACAGGGTTTCACTGTGCTGGCCAGGCTGGTCTCGAACTACTGACCTCAAGTGATCAGCCAGCCTGGGCCTCCCAAAGTGCTGGGATTACAGGTGTGAGCCACAACACCCGGCCAGCAGGGCTCTTCTTAATCAGTACTTGCCAACTTTTCCAGTGGTTCTCTTTCTTTCTTTTCCTTTTCCTTCCTTCCCCACCTTCCCCCTCCCTTCCTTCTTTTTTTCCTTCCTTCCTTCCTTTTTTTCTTTCTTTCCTTCCTTCTCTTTGGCCATTTTGCCCAGGCTGGTCTCCAACTTCTGGCCTCAAACAATCCTCTCCCGTTGGCCTCCACAAATACTGGGATTACAGGTGTAAATGACAGTACCTGGTCTGTTAATTAGTTATTCAGCAGATTTTTACTGTGCACCTACTACATCCTGGTGTTGCCCTAAACGGAGGAAGCTGAGGCAAAATGAACATAAACAGAGAATTTATTTGGGCCAAACCTGAGAAAACAATGTAGGAGCATAGATTCAAGTTGCCCTGAATACACACTCCAGTTAGCAACGGTTACAGTCAGTTTCCAAAGAAAAAGAAGGAGCAGTTCCTAAGGTTTTTTACCAAGAATTTACATCAAAATAGCATAAACTACCGATTGGCTATACATTGTTTTTGTATCACAAATTCCAGATACGTGAAGATAATGAATGAGGTAGCTAGTCAGAAATAAAATGACTTTTATTTTTTTTTAGAGACAGTATTTTGTTCTGTCACCCAATCTGGAGTGCAGTGGTGCGAACATAGCTCACTATACCCTCAACCTGCCAGACTCAAGCAGTCCTCTCACCTCAGCCTCCCATGTAGTTGGGACTACATATGCTCACCACCACACCTGGCTAATTTTAGTTTTTTTTAAGAGATGGGTCTTGCCCTGTGGTCCAGGCTGGTCTTGAACTCCTGAACTTAAATGATTCCCTCAAATAACAGGTGTGAGCCACCACGTCCAGCCTTTGTTCACACACTTGATGGTGAAGTGTTTTTGTTTTTCTTTTTTCTGTAGTGTACCCTATCGATATCTTAACATACTGAAAAGCCCACATGTCATGTTCTTCAAGATGCCATTTGGGGTCGCCCATTTAGGGTCTTCTCTTCTGATATACCACTTGCAAGACTGTTATAATATACAAGTTTTCCTGCCAAGCACATTCCTATTGCAAAGTAACCAATTGTCCCAGTTTGCCAGGAACAGAAGGATTTCCTGGGATAGAGGACTTTTTGGTGATGCAATGCTAAAATATGAAGTGGGATCAGGCATGGTGGCTCATGCTGAGTCCCAGCCACTCCAGAAACTGAGGCTGGAAGGATCACTTGCTTGAAGCCAGGCGTTAAAACCACCCTGGGCAACATAGCAAGACCAACTCTATAAAAAGTAGAAAAAAAAATAGCTGGGCATAGTAATATATGCTTGTAGTCCCAGTTACTTGGGAGGCTGAGGGAGGAGGATTGCTTGAGCCCAGGAGTTGGAGGCAGTGGTGAGCTATGCTCACACCACTGCACACAAGTGTGGGTGACAAAACGATACCCTGTCTCCAAAAAATAAAAAATAAAAACAAAACATGAAAAGGTCTAAGCAATAAGTTAGTCACTCTCATCTGTCAACAAGTCTGTCTTCCCCCTTACACCCAATACTCCAGGAGGGAAGAGACCACACCTTCTTATCTTTATTCATACAATGACTTGCACATACAAATACTGCTAATATTAACAACAACCACAGTTTGTTTTATTTTTATTGATTTCCTGGCTTCTAGAACCAAATTAATAGTTTGTAGTTGAGCATTTTCTACATCCCTGGCCCTGTGCTTAGTTCCTTATAACAACCAAATGAGGTAAGCCATTTTTCCGTTCCATGGGGAGACTGAGGCTAAACCAGTTAAGTCAACATTTAAGAGGGTGGACCTGAAGAGGGAGCTTAATCACCCACCGTGTTAGTACAGTGCTTCTCAAGCTTTTTGATCTCAGAATCCCTTTACACTATAAAAATTACTGAAGATCCCAAAAAGCTTTATTTATTTATTTATTAAGACAAGGTCTTGCTCTGCTGCCCAGGCTTGAGTGCAGTAATGTTATCCTAGCTTACTGCAGCATCCTTGTGGGTTCAAGCAGTCCATCCACCTCAGCCTCCCAAAGTGCTGGATTACAGGAATACGCCACTGTGTCCAGCCTCCAAAAGCTTTTATATGTACTATATAGAATTAAAAAATATATTTATTCTTTCTTTCATTTAAACATTAATTCACATGATTTCTTTCTTTTTTCTTTTTAAGATGGAGTGTCACTCTCTAGCCCTGGCTGGAGCAGAGTGGTGTGATCTTGGCTCACTGCAACTTCCTCCTCTGAGGTTCAAGCAATCCTCCTGCCTCAGTCTCCTGAGTAGCTGGGACTACAGGAGCCTGCCATTACGCCTGGCTAATTTTCTGTATTTTTATTAGAGATGGGATTTCACCATGTTAGGCAGGATGGTCTCGATCTCCTGACCTCGTGATCCACCCACCTCGGCCTCCCAAAGTGCTAGGATCACAGGCGTGAGCAACCGTGCCTGGCACGAATACATTTTAAAATGAAAAAGAACCATATTTTCCAAAACAAACAAACAAACAAAATCTGGCAAATCTGTTTAATATTTGGCTTATTAGAAAACAGCTGTGTTGCAGGAGGGGGTATAGATCAGAGGTAGAGCATTGGACTGCAGATCAAGAAAACGAAAGCAGCTGGATTCTCACATTCAAGTCTACCTTCAATCCGTTACGGGAGGTGCTGCCTTATTGTATGAAACAACAAATTGCACATTCAGACTTTGAAATATCTTGATGGGATAGGCATGAGGAGAAGAGGTATATTAGGTTTGCACGAATGTTTATTTATTTATTCAAATAAAGAGCAGATGGAGTTTCGCTCTTGTTACCCATGCTGGAGTGCAATGGCGCGATCTCGGCTCACCGCAACCTCCGCCTCCTGGGTTCGGGCCATTCTCCTGCCTCAGCCTCCTGAGTAGCTGGGATTACAGGCACGTGCCACCATGCCCAGCTAATTTTTTGTATTTTTAGTAGAGATGGGGTTTCACCATGTTGACCAGGATGGTCTCGATCTCTTGACCTCGTGATCCACCCGCCTCGGCCTCCCAAAGTGCTGGGATGACAGGCGTGAGCCACCGCGCCCGGCCCCAATTTTTTGAATTTTTTAGTAGACACGGGGTTTCACCATATTGGTCAGGCTGGTCTCGAACTCCTGACCTCAGGATTACACGCGTGTTCGGACCGGGTCTGGAGGAGTGCCTAGGAGTCCAGAGAGGAGTTAGTGAGGACAATAGACACGTCCCCTTACCCAAACCCAAACCTGCGAGCTCTTCCCGGGTCGTCCACGCTTGCTCGAGCTTGGACTACAACTCCCGGCAGAGCTCGAGGCAGGGGGCGTGGCCGCAGCCGCGAGGAGCGTCGGTGACTCAAACCGAGTGACGGAAGTGAGCGAGGGCGTGCCTGTTTGTGGCAGGAGCGTGCAGCAATTGGAGGAACCAAGAAGAAGGGGCGGAGGCTGTTCTTGGATCAACGAATAGCTTGCGTTCAGAAGCAACGGGGGGACGGGCCGTGCACGACTGACTCTAGGGCTGTGTGGGGCTCATGGTCCCGGGGTTCTGGGGACGGCGGGCTTGGAGGGCGCAGTCCTAGGGCTGCGGCAGCAGGGCGGGGTAGATGGCGGCGCGATGGAGCAGCGAGAACGTGGTGGTAGAGTTTCGTGATTCCCAGGTGAGCTGGAGGCCGAGTGGAGCCGTCTGGGCATGCGTCCTCCCCACATCCCCTCCCCTACGCGTCTGTTTCCGTCCCGGGGGCTACTGGGAGACCCTCGGCTCCGAACTGAGGAGGTGGGTGGGGCTGACCTGAACTCTTAGACCCGGGCGGATGAGGGGATACTTGACCTTTGGGGACAATCGGGCGGGGAGGGACGGAGTTTCGTGACTCCCCACGCGGGTAGGGTATTGGGGTCCTCCTTGGGACACTGAGGCAGAGACTGCGCAACGTGATTGCTCAAGGGAGGCTTCCCACGATCAGGGTGCGGAATGAGGGGATGACGGCTTCCCGAGGCCCCAGCCGCCCGTGGCGACTTGAGGCAAATCTCTGGACTCCTATGAGCCTCAGCTGCGCCAACTTAACCCTGTTGGGGTGAATTCGTTGAAACACTGTTTGCAAAGTGCCAGTTGTAGCGTCTGCCCGATTAAGTGGTTCTTAATGCCATCATAGTGGAAGATACCGTGTGGTGGATAGGAGTGTACACTGCACGTGTGCCTGAGTTCGAATCCCGCAGCCCTTACCCTGTCATCACTCTCTACATGTCAGTTTTCTCACCTGTAGAAGGGAGATCGTTGTACTTATAACATTGGCCTCAATATTTTATATTTTATTTTATTTTACTTTGTTTTAAACAGGGTCTCACTCTGTCAACCAGGTTTGAGTGCAGAAGTGCGAATCACTGCTCAGTTTGGCCTCTACCTCGCAGGTTGAAGTTATCCTCCCACCTCGGCCTCCCAGTAGCTGAGACTGCAGGTGTACGCCACCACGCCCAGCTAAATTTTTTGTTTTTTTTGGTAAAGATGGGTTTCCTATGTTGTCCAGGCTGGTATGGAACTCCTGGCCTCAAGTGATCCTCTTGCCTCAGGCTCCCAAAGTGTCAGGATTACAGGTGTGAGCTGCTGAGTACAGCCTCGTGTGAAGATTTTGTGTGGTCATATATTTAGGATGTGTGGCACGGTGAAGTGTGCATGCTAGCCCCCAAGAAATGTTAGCACTTACTAGGGAGTTTTACCGTTTTTCTTTGCTGCATCTTCCATATGCCAGACCTCCTTTAAGGCGATTTATCTACATCTTTTTCTAATTCATACCATGCAAGGTAGGTATTACTGCTTTTTTCCCAAAGGGGAAACTGATCCCCTTTTGACTGATCCCAGTGACTTGGCTAAGGCTTCCCATGATGTGGCCAGTGGTATTGGGCTTTGGATGCTGGGTCAGATCCCAGAGCTCTTGTTTAGCTTGTTAGACTACTTTACTCATAGTGGGTAGCTCTGAACCTGTCATATACATCCTCTCCTGACCTAGAACAGTGTCTTGGTGATTCTCTCCAATTTAAAATTTATTTATTTATTTATTTTTTGAGTCAGAGTCTCACTCTTGTTGCCCAGGCTGCAGTGCAACGTCACGATCTTGGCTCACTGCAACCTTCGCCTCCCAGGTTCAAGTGAATCTCCTGCCTCAGCCTCCAGAGTAGATGGGATTACAGGCATGGGGCCACCACTCCTGGCTAATTTTTTATTTTAAGTAGGGATGGCATTTCTCCATGTTGGTGAGGCTAGTCTCGATCTCCGAACCTCAGGTGACCTGCCTGCCTCGCCCTTCCAAAGTGCTGGGATTATAGGTGTGAGCCATGGTGCCAGCCTTTAAATTTATTTATTTACCCTTTTTTTTTTTGAGACACAGTCTTGCTCTATCACCCAGGTTTGTAGTGCAGTAACATGATCTCAGTTCGTTGCAACCTCTGCCTCCCAGATTCAGACGATTCTTGTGTTTCAGGCTCCCGAGTAGCTGGGATTACAGGTGTGTGCCACCATGCCTGGCTAATTTTTGTATTTTTCTGTAGAGATGGGGTTTCATTATCTTGGCCAGGCTGGTCTTGAATTCCTGGTCACAGGTGATCTGCCTGCCTTGGCCTCCCAGTGTGCTGGGATTACAGGTGTGAGCCACTACAACTCGCCTATTACTTTTTGCAAAGACAGGCTATCACTGTGTTGCCAAGGCTGGTCTCAAACTCCTGGCCTCAAGCGATCCTCCCACCTTGGCCTCCCAAAATGTTGGGTCAACAGGTGTGTCACTTGCTTCATTTATCTAACTAATATTTATGGAATACCTTCTGTGTGCCACACTTTTATTCTCTCATTTATTCAACAAGGATTTACTGAGCTCCCATCAGGTATACACTATGCTAGGCCCAGGTGAGATTATACTGAGCGAGATCTGGATTACAATAAGTAGGCAGTGTGGTTTCTTCTTTCCAAAAACCCATCCTGTCTTTTGCCAGAGGATGAGTGAGTGGAGGAGCCACTCACCACATTGCTCTGGGGTGCCCTCTGATCAGTAGCATCCACTGAGAATTTGAGCAGTAGCATTTGCATTAAGGATCCCCTAGTACTGTCAGCACGGAGTCTCCTGCTCTCCCTAGGGAGGCGCCAGACTCCTAGGGAAAAGGAACCATATCCCTGTTTCCCTCCTTGTTAATTGCTTTCACTGGGGAGTAGGACAGAATAGAATCGTGTATCATGCCTCTCAGCCTGCTAATTTGGAAGCTGCTAATCTGCAAATGCTTTAATTCTCACAGAAACCCAGGTAGTCTCACCCCTGCCTCTTTAGAGAGATGTAATTGAAGAGACCTGCAGAGAGGGTGCTGACATATATTAGGATGCTCTGAAGTTGTAGCAGATGATTAAACCAGAACAGCAGTTGTCATAGTAAGAGAACAAAGTAGATTGGGTAATTTTACTGCCTTGGAGTTTCTGTGTTTTGTTTTCATTTTTTTTTTTTTTTTTTTTTTTGAGAGGGAGTCTCACTCTGTTGCCCAGGCTGGAGTGCAGTGGTGTGATCTCAGCTCACCACAACCTCCACCTCAAGCAGTTCTCCTGCCTCAGCCTCCAGAGTAGCTGGGACTATAGGCACGCACCACCATGAGCAGATAGTTTTTGTATTTTTAGTAGAGATGGGGTTTCACTATGTTGGCCAGGCTGGTTTCAAACTCCTGACCTCCCAAAGTGCTACGATTACAGGTGTGAGCCACCGAGCTGGGCTGATTTTTCTATTTACAGGGCTTTCTCTTTGTGTGAACTAGTATGCTTTTGTGGGCGATTCTGGTGGTGATTGGAAGGGGCAGGAACCCATTTTATTAACTATTTCGTTAATGCAGAAAGAAAAAGTTAAAACTCTTCATATTGCGTTTCTGAATAGGAACAATAAACTTTTCAAAACACTCTCCATGTTTTAAATAATACTTTAATTGAATTAAAAAATGTTTAACTAAAATACTCAATTTTTTTTTTTTTTGCTTTTTCTTTTTGAGATGTCGTTTTGCTCTTGTTGCTCAGGCTGGAGTGCAATGGGGCGATCTCAGCTCACTGTAACCTCTGCCTCCCAGGTTCAAGCTATTCTCCTGCCTTAGTCTCCTGAATAGCTGGGATTATAGGCATGTGCCGCCACGCCTGGCTAAATTTGTATTTTTAGTAGAGACTAGGTTTCTCCATGTTGGTGAGGCTGGTATCGAACTTCCAACTTCAAGTGATCTGCCTGTGTCATCCTCTCAAAGTGCTGGGATTACAAGCATGATCCACCACTCCTGGCCAGGCCTGGCTAGTTTTAAAAATTTTTTTATGAGGATGGGATCTGGCTATTGATGCCCAGGCTGGTCTTGAACTCCTGACCTCACAAAGGCAGTCCTCCCACAGTCTTGGGATTACAGGCATGAGCCACCACTCGACCTGGCTTCTTTTGCTTAGCCTAGTGCTTTTTTTTTTTTTTTTGAGACGGAGTTTCACTCTTGTTACCCAGGCTGGAGTGCAATGGCGCGATCTCGGCTCACTGCAACCTCCGCCTCCTGGGTTCAGGCAGTTCTCCTGCCTCAGCCTCCTGAGTAGCTAGAACTACAGGCGCGCACCACCATGCCCAGCTAATTTTTGTATTTTCAGTAGAGATGAGGTTTTACCACGTTGGCCAAGGTGGCCTCGATTCTCCTGACCTGGCGATCTGCCTGCCTTGGCCTCCCAAAGTGCTGGAATTACAGGCGTGAGCCACTGTGCCTGGCCCAGGCCATTTTTTAAAACATACATTTTCATATACCCCTCAGTGAAGATCCTTCAATGGCATTCTATTGCCCTGAGAAGAAAATAAAAATTCCTTTTTTTGGACTATTTTGTGTACTGTTCTCTGCACGCTTCTGGGATTATTTCTTATATCACATTGCTTCTCACTATCTATTAATTTCACTTTCCCTCTGCCATAGGGTAAGCTCTGTGAAGATGGAAACCTTGTTTATTTGGCTCTTGTGTCCCCACTGCCTAGAATAGTACTTGGTATTTAGAAGATGCTCAACAAATATTTGATGAATGAATAAATTTCAAAAACCAATTATGTTGACTGGTCATGGTGGTTCACACCTGTAATCCGAGCACTTTTGGAGGACAGGGCCTGTGGATCACCTGAGGTCAAGAGTTTGAGACCAGACTGGCCAACATAGTGAAACCTCGTTTTTACTAAAAATACAAAAAATTAGCCGGATGTGGTGTCGGACGCCTGTAGTCCCAAGCTACTCACGAGGCTGAGGCAGGAGAATCAATTGAATCTGGGAAGCACAGGTTGCAGTGAGCTGAGATCGCGCCGCTGCACTCCAGCCTGAGTGACCGAGCAAATTTCTGTTTAAAACAAAAAACCCACAAAACCCAATTATGTCAACTAATAATTTTAACAGGAATTAGGAAAAAGTATTTCAGTGTCCACAGTTCTGAAGGTGTTATGTTAAAATAGTTTTAGATTTATAGAAAACTTGACAATATCGTACAGAAAGTTCCTGTATACCCTAACCCTGGAACCAATTTCCCCTGTTATTAATATCGTATGCTAATATGGTACCTTTTTCACAAGTGATGGACTGATGTTGACTGCTTATTATTAACAAAAATCCTGTGCTCGCTTCAGCAGCACATATACTAAAATTGGAA